GCTTGATGAGGCCAACTTTGCCCTTGTCTGCCCGGGTCTTGGAACTTCCCGTGCGCAGCAGGCCCGCCCAAAGATTTGCAACGCAAAAAACAGAGCCGCAGATGGGCATCCCAAATGAGTTTCACAGACATGCCTCATCCCCATCACATGTTTGCAGTCTTAGCCAAACATCCTACCAACCGGAAGATGCGCTTACGGGGCCTGCATTTTGCCTTGGTGCCTTTGCCCTAGCCAAAACTCACGCAAAATACTAATTTCTAAAAGCGCAGAGGCGTCTTTTCGTCTCAGCGGGCTGGATGGGCCGCGGTGACACAGCTTGCGCCTGCGCCGTACTTTTTCCCACATGCTTGGCTGCGCATACCGGCATATACCGGCTTCCGTGGCATGGAATAAAGCACCAAAGGTGAGTTAACCCCGCAACTGCTACGCTGGAAAACTTACCCCTCCAATCTCCAGCAAAAGTCGGCTTGTGCAACGGCGTGGGCGTGTCTTGGCCAACTTGCAGACCCGCGCCTTGCAAGGCGACGCCGAAGCAAATAATGTCCGCAGCCATGTCTCGAAGCAGCCCCCTTAATTGTTTTTTGGAGGGGTATTTATTTTAGATTTTTTCGTTTTTTTTTGTGAATTTTTTTCGCTTTTGGCTTCTTGGCTTCTTGGCTTCTTGGCTTCTTGGCTTCTTGGCTTCTTGGCTTCTCGGCTTCTTGGCTTTTTGGCTTCTTGGCTTCTTGGCTTCTCGGCTTCTCGGCTTCTGGGCTTGTGGGCTTCTGGGCTTCTTGGCTTCTTGGCTTCTTGGCTTCTTGGCTTCTTGGCTTTTCGGCTTCTTGGCTTCTCGGCTTCTGGGCTTCTAGGCTTTTCGGTTTTTTGCTGGCTTATGCGGCTTTTGGTGGCTTTTTGGTGGCTTTTTTTGGCTTTTCTATTTTTCCCGCATCCTCCATCATTCCCAGTTTCCTGTTCGGCAGTGGCTTTTTTTTTTTTTTTTTCTCGACATCCAAAGTCGCTGGGGGGGCGCAATCCCCCCCCAACCCCCCCGCTACGTTTTAGATTTTCTGCAGAGATTTAATTAGTTGCACCCCTCGTTGAATCATCAATTCTTCGAACATCATGGGGGGAGTTGAATCATCAATTCTTCGACCATCATGGGGGGGGGGCTGCCGCCCCCCCCAACCCGCTACTTTTTAGACTTTTTGCAGAGGTTTAATTGCACCCCTATTCAAATCATCACTTCTGCAAACAACATCGTGGGGGGGGCTGCCGCCCCCCCCCCCCAACCCCCCCGCTACTTTTATATTTTTTTACAGGGATTGACATGCCCTCCTACTTGAACCATCATTTCTTTGACCCCGTCACACGATTTGTGGGTGATGCTAGGGATGTTGGTGGGACATGCGGGGTATATTTCGCGAGAACATGCTGTAAAATACGACACTTTACTGCAGCAGAGATTGAATTGCACCCCTGTTTGAATCATCACTTGTTCGAGCATCCAATTTCGCGAGAAAATGCTGCAAAATACGACATTTCAAGTAATTTGTGTAGTCCGTGTATGTCTGTATGTATGCATTTCTTCGAACATCATAGGGGAAGCCACCCCCGCCAACCCTCCCGCTGCCTTTTAAATTCTATCACACCCTTTCTAATCCTGTATCAGGTTGGAAGGCTTGGGTTTACAGGCTTCATTCTGCAAGGAGTGTATTGGATCATGCGGGGCCTTTTGGCTCAAGCATGATCCAAACTGGCTAAATTTTAACTTCTGGTTTGCGGGTTCGGCAAGTGTTACTTGTCGAATGTTGGCAGTTCCAGGAGTTGACTTTGCCGTTCACACGGATCGTCCTATCCTGTCCACAGGCGCCTACCTCGACTTCAAGCGCCATGTGGGCAACTTGCTGGAGCAGGGGAATCATGGCCAGGCCCGGATGCTCTGGCTTTCGGCTGTGGAAGTTTTGCATGCCCTTTCGTGCAAGCTCCCCTGCCCTTGGTTGATAGTGGGGAGATACCCCACCTGCAATTTGCACCCTGCATTGATGCCCAGTGTGCGAGATGTGACGGGTCCCTTGGCGGCTTCAAGTTCCCGTTCATTGGCACCTGGTGCCGGCGTGCAGTCTTGGTTCAAGAAGGTGCATCTGCAGAGGAGGCTTGGGCCGCCTATCATGGGTGCTATGAGGAGGATCGCCTGTCTGAGGCCATGGTGGCTGAAGCAGGCAGTGGCCTCCGTACCCAGGACATCATCCCGATGTATGTCTCCGCCATTGCTGGTCGGGTGGAATCTGGCGACCTCCCCTTCGTGTCCTTCAGGGGCTTCATGTGGACCTGGAGGAGATGGAGCTTGGGTGCTCGGAGTTGGACCGAGCCATGGCCCAGGGAGAGCGACTCCCTGGCCAGAGCCACAGCGGGGAGGCTTCTCCGTGGGTGGCTGGACGAGGGGAGGAGGAGCCTCCTTTGCGCTTACTGCGGAAGCAGGACTCGCTCTGTGTGCGCATCATGTGGCATCCACCAATGCGAA